CCCCGCCCGCAAGCCGTCTCGCTCACTCCCACCCGCCCTCCCAGCACCCGAGTCTGGCCCGAGCCTGAGCATATTCAGCAGTCGTCTTGGGATGGACAGCTACTGGGGGCCAATCTGGCGCCGCCGCCGCCGCCGCCGCCGCCCCCCGCTGCCAAACCGCCGCCGCCGCCGCAGCCACTGCCGCCACCGCTGCCGCCGCCGCAGCCGCCGCCGCAGCCGCCGCCGCCGCCGCCGCCGCCTTCTCCGCCGCGCCGCCGCGCCGCCGCCGCAGCAGCCGCAGCCCGCCGCCGCCCGCCCTCGCCGCCGCCCCCCGCTGCCAACCGCCGCCGCGCCGCTGCCGCTGCCCGCCACACGCCGGCACCCGCCCCCGCCCCCCGCCCCCGCCCCCGCCCAGGCCGCCGCCGCCGCCGCCGCAGTCGCAGCCGCCGCAACCGCCGCACACGCCGCCGGCGCCAAGTGTACTCTGCATTGTTTTTTGACAGGGATGGTGGGGGGGGTCGCATCGGGTTGGCTGCGCATGTTCCGAATTTGGAGGCAGAGTGTGTTTTGTAGTGTTTTTTACCAGGGATGGTGGGGGGGTGTCGGCATGGACCCTGGTTGGCCCCCAGTCGCCTGGGGGAGGGGGTGTTTATTAATAGGGAGCAATGATAAACCCTTCCCCGAAGGGGAAAAAGGAGGGGTGGAAGAGGAAACGCCCTAAACCACCGACGCCCAGAGGGCTGGTGAGATTTTCGGGGGTGCCCATTGAGGGGGAGGCGAGGGCGCGGAGGGAGAATGAGGAGGAGGAGGAGGAGGAGGAGGAGGAGGAGGAGGAGGAGCAAGCGTTGAGGATGAGCAGGAGGAGGGGAGCATGATAAGGAGGAGCAGGAGCAGCAGGAGCATGATCAGGAGGAGGACGAGGAGCAGCAGGAACAGGATCAGTAGGAGGACAGGGCATGGAGCAATAGCATGATGCTGATGCGGTTGATGGTGATGGTGATGGGTGGTGATGATGGCGCTGCTGGCGATGATGACGATGATGCTGATAATGACGATGACGATGACGATGATGTTGGTTATGCTGCTGATGATGACGATGCTGATGCTGATGATGCTGATGATAATGATGGTGATGGTGGCGGTGATGATGCTGACGCTGATGCTGATGCGGATGGCGATGACGACGGCGATGGCGCTGGCGATGGCGACGATGCTGATCATGCTGGTGATGATGATGCTGGTGGTGGTGATGACGACGGTGCTGCTGCTGTTGTTCATGATGATGTTGATGTTGATGGTGGTGTTGATGTTCATGTTGATGACGATGATGATGTTGGTGATGGTGTTGATGATGACTACGAATATCATGATGACGATGCTGACGGTACTGATGGTGATGGCGATGATGAACATGATGATGTTGATGGTTATGATGGTGTTGGCGATGTTGATCAGGATGATGATGCTGATGATGATGATGATGATGATGATCATCATCACGATCATGCTGATGATACTGACGATGATGACGGTAATGCTGGTGATGTCGCTGTTGCTGATGATGAAGTTGCTGAATATGTTGCTGATGATCATGATCATGATGATGATGCTGATGGTGATGGTGATGGTGATGATGGTGATGATGATGCTGCTGATGATGATGCAGATGATGATGGGGCCGCCCTACGGGTACGTCTGAGGGTGCGACAGGCAGGAGTGACTTATAAGGAAAAGGGATGGAGGAGGAGCAGAAGGAGGAGGAGGACGGATGAGGAGAAGGAAAAGCTTGAGAAGGGAGGATGAGGAGGGATAATGAGGAGGAGGAGGAGGAGGAGGAGGAGGAGGACAGGAAGATTGGAGGTGCGGCCAGGGCGGAAATTGTTCAAGACGTCCCCATCTCCCCCCATTACCCTGTTAGGCTCGTCTTTCCCAGTATTGAGCCTATTGCCGATGTCAAGTTCGTTAAGGTGCCCAAACGGTTCCCTCTTGAGCGCCCCATTGGTTGTCTGGGGCCCCCTGTTGAGGGTAGGTGGGAGCCCGTGGCCGCGCTTTGTTCTGATCCCCGCGCCTCTGTGCAGGACAAATGGAACAGTTTCCTTCGTGCGGCGGAGGCTGAGTGGCTCTATGTCTTTCAGATTTCAGGAGAGCTTGCTGATGGGTTTGTCGGTAGAGACCTGCCTTTGAAGATCTCTTCTAAGAAGCCCCCTTGCCCTGGGCCTCCTAGGTTTCCGAAGCTCTCCCCGCTTGCGTGTTGGTGGCGCAAAGTCAGCGTCCTTTTGTCCGATCTCGCGCGAGATCCCGTGGGTACCCATAGGCGGCAGCTCGTCTCGGCTGCCTTTCGGCTTTCAGGTTTTCACCGGCTCCCTAGCAGTGCTGTCTATGCCGCCTGGGCGGCAGTGTTGCGCCAGGCTGACCTGTTGCCGCTGCTCTCGGCCAAGGCGCTGGCAGAGCTGGCGGACGTCGAAGCCAAGAGGCTTCAGGCACAGTCGGTGCACGACAAGGACAGGGAATGGAATAAATGGGTCGACAAACATTCTTCGGGGGGGGTGTCGGCTTTGTTCAAGTTTTCTTCCCTCCCTATCGGTTGGCAGCCCGATGCCCTTGATCGCCCCACCCTTCGCCCCTGTTCGTCGGTCGATTCGGTCGAGGCCCTGGAGGCCGAGTGGAAAAAGTGGTGGTCCGTGGGGCACGTTAAGCCCCCCCTCGTGTGGCCTGACCTTGGAGTGCCGCCTGAGCGTCCCAGTGTTGATGAGCTCGCGCGGGCTCTAAAAAGCTTCAAGTCCTCTACTGGCACTGGTTTTGACCAAGTCTCGCCCCGCTTCCTTTTGCTTCTGCCGCCCTCTGCGCTGGAAGCCTTGTGTGAGATTATCTCGCACATCGAGCACAAGCGTGAGTGGCCTGTCATGTGGAACCGCATTGTGTTCATTCTCAAACGGGTGGGGGGTCTGAGGCCGATTGGGTTGCTCCATGTGTTGGCTCGTGTTCAATGTCGCCTGAGACGTCCTCTCATCAGGCAGTGGCAGGAAAGAAATTATCGTGCCTTTTTTTTCTGGGGCACACATGGGAAGTCTTCGGAGCATTGCGTTTGGATTCAAGCTGCCTGGTCCGAACATTCGACGTTCAAAAATCGTAGCTGTGCCACGTTGCTTTTGGATTTAAAGAAGGCGTTCGAGCTGGTTCAGCACCGACATCTCATCTCGGCTGCGCAGGCCACCAGCTTTCCATTGTGGCAATTGTACTTCCTGGTTCAGATTTATCGGGCCCCTAGGCTGCTTGACGTGGCTGGCGAGGTTGGTTCGCTGCTGGATGTTGAGCAGACCGTCGTGCCAGGTTGTACATTTGCCACTTGTATGCATCAATTGGTGCTGCTAGGCCCTCTCGACGCTGTTCAGGCTTCCTTCCCGACGGCCCAGCTGTCGGTCAATGTGGGCGACTTTGGCCCCATGAGATGGGGCGCGGAGTCGAGAGTGGTGCAAGACACCGTTGGCGCGTGTAAGAAGCTCCACAGTGAGCTCAAGGCCGCCGACCTTAGGATCGCTGTCGACAAGCCCCGAGTGCTTGGGAACTCGCCTGCTGTCAGAGCCTCGATCGCTTCGAAGCTCCGTGGCCTCCAGCCCCTGCCCGTTAGAGCTGAGAGGAACCTTGGTGTTGACTTTTCCTCTGGGCTCGCTGGAGGGGGCAAGGCTACGTCCGCCTCCCGCGCCAAGGCCGCGGGCAGGAGGCGGCAGCGCATGTCGATCTTCAAAGGCTCCAAACCTCGCCGCCGCGTGCTTGGACGCATGGCTCGAAGTGCTCTGGAGTCCTCCGTGTTGCATGGTTCCGCCGTGGTGGGCACCAGCGGGCAGGAGTTGGAGGTTCTTAGAGGTGCTGCTGGTAAACTTCAAGACCGTCGTATGGATGGTAAATCTCGTACCCTGGCCCTGTTGTTGTCCCCTGTGCCCCGTTTGGACACCATTTTTAGGGCTACGTGGTTGCCCGTGAAAGCCTTCCTCCACGCTCTGTGGCACTCCTGGCTTCCTAGGGGCGCCCTGGACTTCGGCCTCCGTGAGGCCCACGAGCGGCTTTCGATTCGTGAGCACCCTTGGTCTTCCATTAGGGGCCCATTCAGTGCTGTGTGGGCCACCTCAAACGCATCGGGATTACGGCTACTTCGGCTACCTCCTGGACTTGGCCTGATGGGGCCGTCATCAATCCCATGGACTTCTGCCCTGTTACGATCCAGGAGCTCGTGCGCCGCGCCGTCGAGTGTTAGCAGTTCGCCAAGGTTGCTGGCCACTTGGGCCTCCCTGAGTATTGCAACGGTGCCTTACTCAGCCCTGAAGGCCCTGCTCAGCACCAAGAGTGAGCTCACGGCACCGCAGAGAGGCCACCTGCGCAGCACCGTGGTCGGGGGACAGTGGCCCCAGAAGCGTCGGTGGGCCGAAGGATACGACACTACGCCCACTTGCCTGCTCTGCCCCCACGCCGAAGGCACGCTGCTGCACAGGCACTGCTCTTGTGCGCGCCTCGACAGCCTCGAGGGCGCTCCTGCGCTTCGTGCCAATGCAGTGCGGGCGGCGCAATCGCCGCTTGCCCTAGTCTTTGCTGGGCGCTGTCTGGCCCCGTTTCCTGCACTGGTCAGGCCGCCGCCTGGGCGACCCGTGTGCTGGGGGATTGGAGGGCCTGATAGCTTCACGGGTTCACGGGAAATATCTACCCTGATGGATCGGCTTTCGAAGCTGAGTATCCCAGCCTTGCGAGTGCGGGCTGGGGGTGCGTGGCGCTTCACCCCGATTGCCTTCAGGTTGTTTCTTTTTGTTCTGGCCCCGTGCTCGACCCCTTGCAGTGCATTGATGCTGCCGAACTCATCTTGCGGCGCCGCCAGTGCGCATGTTTTCGGACTCAGCCTTTGTCGTGGATGGCTTCCACGAACGTGGCCGCGTGGCCGCCGCTGCCTGTGTTGCCGCGCATGCTCACCTCTGGCGGGAGTTCTGGCGTTTGGTGGACGACTGGGGGGGGGCGGGTTCGAGCTCTCGAAGGTCAAAGGTCACGCGGCCGTAGGTGGCACCCAGCACGGGCGTGCCACGGCGCGCCACAGGGTTGGCAATATAACGGGAGACCGCGCTGCAAAGAGCGCTGCTGCCTTTGCGCGAGTACCGCGTCAGGGCCGTGCGCAGCTGCAGGCTCGCTCTAAGGTTGCCAAGACCTGGGGGGACTGGATTGACCGATTCAGCGACGGGCTTGAAGATTGTGGCCACCCCAAGCGGCACAATCGTGGCAAGCCGCGTCTCCCTCGGCTTTCCGTTACGCGCGACCCCGTCCCATCCGATATTGCCTCTCGCGCGCTGGCAGCGCAGAGGAAGCTGGGGGATGGAGCGCGCAAGCATGACCTCGTTCGTATTGCACTGTGTGAAGGTCCCACTGTTGTGGGCTGCGCGCGTTGTGGCAGCTTTGCGGTTTCTCGCGTTGCAGCTCTCAGCCAGCCGCGCCCGCCTGTGGCCACTGACCATGCCCCGAAGGTGCTGAAGCGGCTCTGTGAGGGAGAGTTTCGCCTCAGTGCCAAAGTGTTTCGGGTCGCAGCGCAGGCGCCGCTCGCAGAGGCCGCTGCGGTCGCTTCTCCTCGCGCCGCCCAGCTGGGGGCTGGCGAAGACAGTGCTGCTGCTGATGTCTTGGCCCAACCTTCGGGGGCACCCCACCCGTCTGGCGTGGGTGCTGGCGCCATCTCGGAGGATGGAGGCCTTGGCGCGTCGTCGTTGGCTAGCGGTAGAGGAGGAGAAAGTCTATCTGAGCCTGCCACGGTGGCTAGCGCCCTGGCAGCGCCCCAGCTGGAGGCAGGCGCGGCCACCTCGGAGGCGCCCCAGCGGTCTGCTGGCAGTGCTGTTGCTCTAGCGGAGGAAGGAGGTGTCGCGCCGTCGACGTCGTTGAGCGGGGGAGGAGGAGATGTTTCGGACACCGCCGTGCATGTGCGCACGCAGCGCACGCAGCGCACTGAGGCAGAGCGTGCTGCCATTGTTCAGCGGCTGCTGGCAGCTGCCAGTGGCCGCCCTCGTCCTCCTCCTAACGTTTTGCCCGTTGCTCTCGATGTTCATGGTCAGGAACAGCCCGGCCCCACCGTGGGGTCGCGCTCTGGGGGGCAGGTCGTTGGCCATAGGGGATCCTCCCAGTAAGGGAGATCGCCCGGTGGCCCTCGGCCCGCCCTTCCCTCTCTTCTCTTTCTTACGACGGGCTCGTGCTGTGACCCTCTTTCTGCTGGTCCTGCACTGCCCTTCCTTGCGCGCTGGCGGTCTGGCCGCGCGCAGTCCTCTCTGCCGGAGGTGTAGCCTCGCGGCAGGAGCTTTGGCCCATGCGGGCCCTGTCCGAAGCGCGTGGCTGAGGGCGGTTGTAAGGTGCGTCCTCAGCCACGCCAACTGACGGCTGTGGTGTCATAGACTCTGTGGCGCCTCAGGTCGTGCGCAGGAGGAGGAGGAGGAGGAGGAGGAGGAGGAGGAGGAGGAGGAGGAGGAGGAGAGTGTCGGGAGGTGGCAGGAGGAGGAGGAGGAGGAGGAGGAGGAGGAGGAGGAGGAGGAGGAGTGGGAAAAGCAGTGCGAGGAGGACGGGCAACAGGAGTTCGAGGCGGAGGGTGGTGAAGAAAAGGGAGGAGAGGGAACGGAGGAGGAGGGAGCGGAGCAGGAGGAGGCGGGAGAGACGGAGGGAACGGAGGAAGAGGAGGAGGATGAAGGACGGAGGAGGAAGGACGGAGCAGGAGGATGACGGAGGAGCAGGTCGGACGAGGACAGAACAAGGAGGCCCTCGCCCCAGAGAAGCTCTGGCCCGCTCACCGTCGCCTCGGCCGCGCCCGCAAGGCCCTGCGCCGCTTGCCCACACTGCCAGCGCCCTGTCGTTGCCAGTGACGCGCAGCTTCAGCCCCGGGCCGCACAGGCTCTGCCGGGAGCGGGGGTTCTCGAACGGGGCTAGGGCGAGGATGCAGTCAAGACGTCAAAACGCTGACACAAGGACCAGTTTCGGTTCGGAAGGGGCTCGATGTACGTAGGTCCTTCCGTTGTTCCTCCAGCCCTCCTCGTGAGCGCGAAAGCGGGTTTGAGCCTGTTTCTTTATTGTTTGGGGCATAATGGGCATTACAGCCCCCGGCCCTTTCCCCCCCCTATAACGTAACGCCCCTCCCCCCCCCAGTGCGCTCGGGGCACTGCCGCCGTGCGCGTCCGGATCTCCATCGGCGTCCGCGTAAAAGTCCGCATAGGAGTCTGGTCCGCATTGGAAATCTCATGGGGATCGAACTACTTACGCAGGACGAAAAATGTTCCTCTTGAAGTGCAAATGGCGGTGATGAGTTGGAGATTAATGACCGATACCCCTTCCCCCGTAGAATCGTAACACCGGGCGTGTTCGGGGCCCGCGGATCCCATTTCTTCCGGCTTCCCGTCTTAATTAAAATCATGTAATTTAAAGGCGGTAGAAACCGGATCCGCCGTAAAAAAGTATGACCGAACACGGAGGATCCATCAACTCCGAAATCGGATCCGCGCGGACGGAAATCGCATCCACCGAAACAAACACCAAAGCCACCGTTGGATCCGCGCGAACTTCATGGGATCCGACGGCGGTTGTCCCATACGTGTCTGCTCAAGACTTTAAACCGCCGTTCCGGGCCCACGAGGAAAAAACATTCGTTCTGGGGATGTCGGGAGGAGGAGTAATTTGGAGGAGGATGAGGAGGAGGAGGAGGAGGAGGAGGAGGTGGTGGAGGTAGAGGTGGAGGTGGCGGAGGAGGGAGGAGGGAAAAACGTCGCATTCTATCATCTGCACTTCTCTGGCCTGGCGATTAGCTGTCCGCAGCAGATGCTTACCTACATGCTCGTTCTACCTGTCCTGTGCACGCAAGCGCTGTGGTGTACACCAGCGCTGCGTTCACGCGGATGTTGTGGTGTAAACAGGCACTGTGGTGTGCACAGGCGCTGCGGTGCACGCAAGCATTGTGGTGTACACAGGTGTTGTGTTGCACATGGTTGTTGTGGTGTTATACATTCGTTGTGGTGCACACCGGCGCTATGGTGCACGCAAGCACTGTGGTGTACACAGGCGCTGCGTCGCACACGGCTGTTGCGGCGTTCGCAGGCACTGTGGTGTGCACGCGCGCTGTGATGCACGCAGGCGCTGTCGTCTGCACAGGCGCTGCGGTTCACGCAAGCATTGTGGTGGACAGGCGCTGTGTTGCACATGGTCGCTGCGGTTTTACACATTCGCTGTGGTGTACACCGGCGCTGTGGTGCACGCAAGCACTGTCGTGTACACAGGCGCTGCGTCGCACACGGCTGTTGTGGTGTACGCAGGCACTGTGGTGTACACACGCGCCGTGGTGCACGCGAGCATTGTGGTGTACACTGGCGCTGTGGGCAGGTCGCCACCTACATGCTGCTCGCGTCGTCGTCGTCGTCGTCGTCGCTCGTCGCTCGTTGCTCGTCGCTCATCGTCGTCGTGCGCGCGGGCGCGGCTGTGGTGCCCGAGCCACACGGCGGGGAGGGGGGGGTCGTTACATATTACCCCCGCGGGCGCGGCTGTGGTGCCCGTGCCACACGGGGGGGTGGGGGGGGTCGTTACATATTATCCCCCCCCCCCCCCCCGACGCTCCCCCCTATAACGCCCGCTATCGCCAAAAAATGAAGAAACGCGCTCTTTGAGGCCGGCAAGGGGCTTCGCCCCTTGTCAACGGCCCGACTGTACATCCGTTCCACAGCGTTCCGGAACGCTCTCAGAGCGTTCCGGGACGCTCTGCGAAGGCCGCGGCGCCCGAGACATCCTCCAGCGCCGCGGCATCTCAGAGATGCTCGATTTATTCTCACCCGATGTTATCCTCGTGCTGGTTTCGTCTTTGGTTCGGCCAGCCTTCCCCAGGTATCGATGTTCGGCGCATGGACAGCACCTCGTCTCGCGTGAGCTTGCCTGCAAATTCTGCATGAGTCAGATGGCTACCGAGACACTGGGGTTGAAGATTGACAGCAGGTCCTGTTCATTTTGAACCGTATTCACTGTCGGCGTCGCCACGAACGGTGTCCATTCGATGCAGGGCGGCGCTTGCCCAACAGCGGCAGCTACCAGTTTTGGACAACAGTTGCTGTTGGATGTCGAACCATTTTTTCCGTACCCATTTCGAGACAATTTGGTCTCGCAAGTTGGTGCCCGTGCGGCGAGCCAGCGCCTCTCGAGCAGACAGTTACGGATCATCCGGAGCCCCGCTCGTGGCTGGAACGGGTGACCGAACAAAGTCCTCCACAGCGGGGGCTGACGTGCTCGTGGTCACGGAAGAAGCGCAAATACGGATAAAGGTGCGCGGGTTAGCGGCGGGCTTGGCTTTCGCACGAAATCGGCGCGCTCCGTCGCCACATGAGGTAGCATTGGCGCCACGTTCCCCAGGGGTATTTTCCTCGGTCTGTGGATCTGGCGCCCACGCGCCAGATCCACGGATCCCTCATCCATGTTCGCGTGTGCCCGAGACAGGATCGATTCGAAGTCCGAGATTCGAATTCCGAGGTTTTTGAACGATTTCGTCGGTTCCAAACAGGTATTCAGAGTCGGGGTGCTCTCCAGGAGCTGCGCCTCGCCGAGGGCGTTCGGGGGGTGCTCGGATCCTCCCGAACATCCGCCAGAGACCCGCGTTATGGCCCGAAAGCCAGACCTCTGCGACGAAGATCATGGCAACAGGTTTTTGGCAGCTGTTGGCCTCTGGGATCCATGGCCAAGTCCCAGGGCCGCCCTTAGGGCCGTCAAAAAACGGCCCAGGTTGAAAAGCCGGTCCTTGGGAAGAGGTCGAGACAGTTGTTTTTCGGGAGCTCTTGGACCACCTCGGGGCCCTCTTGGGCCGTCCTGGAGCCCTCCTGGGGGCTTCTTGGGCCGTCTTGGGGCCATTTCGGATACCTCTGGGTGGTCTTCAGGTGTTCGGCGAGATGGCGAGAACGCTAACACTTTCGGAAACCTGCGGAGCACACCTTTTTGTTTTGCCTCTCTCTGGAGGCCCTCTTCTTGAAGCCCTCTTGGGCGGTCTTCAGGGCCTCCTTGGTGAATCAATCGCGGCGTTTCATTAGTGTCTGGGCAGACCCCTCGGTGGCGACTCGAGCAGATGGCGCCAGCGGCTTTCTCACTCTGATGCCTTTTGCCTCTGGGGACCTCCTCTTCCGGACGAGAGGAGGAGAAGCGATAAGGAAGAGGATTGGGGTTTCCTGAACAGTTTCTTTGTATCGGGCGGCATTGATATGTTCAAGTCCATGGTGCAAGATTTGTCTGTTGCAGTTTACATGCTTAATTTCGAGTGGAAGCCCTCTTCACTACAATTCATGCTGTCTGGGCCACTGCCGAATCAGCACATTCAGAGTCTTGCGTTCCGTGTTCAGGCGCACGTCGTGTTTAGCTCGTGGAAGTAATGGTCGTGCATGGGGTCAAGCTTTCCCACACCGGGGACACCAGCACGCCTGTGGAACGCAGATTGTGTAGGTTGTTAGCTGCGCTTTGGAAGCATGCTGGGGTCTGCGGCCTAGGCTCAGCCCAAAGCAAACTACAAGCGTGGAGTAGAGGTCCTTCACCGTCGGCTTGTTTCGGATATGGATATTGGTGCATATCCCCGGCGATATTGGCGAGTCTGGTTCGTTGATAGCAAGGCCATGTCATGAATCATTTCACGGCGCCGAATATCACTGGAGACATTAGAACAGAACAACGAAATCATATGTTTCAAACGCACAGGACTTGAAGCAATTCAGCATGACACCATTGCATATCGAAGTCGTGCGCGCCTTCTACACATTCTTGGGGAGAGATTTCACACCCCTCACAGGTTGCTGAAACTTTCTTGCGTAA